AAACCTTCCCCATTAACTTTTCCGTCCGTGACAAATAATTTATATTGACGAACTTACATGTGTATTTGTATAACTAAAAATAAGATGCATCATAGAATGGGATCTACTTATCGTAGAATACAAACTTGATATAGGACCGGATCTTACTTTATCTGTATGATCTGTCACGTCCCAATTTATACGGATACGGAAAGTACTAATGAAATCAAGTCTGGATCTGAGTAGCTGTTAACATTCGCATTCAGATTTATGCAAATAAAAAACCTCTTTAGATTGAATCGTTTTTTGTTCTGATCTATTTAGCTGCATTACTAAATTAATCAACTCTACTTTCTTTACTCAACACTCCTTATTTATTGGATCATATTTCGAAAAATAGATGGGAGCATGACAAAGATCCTCGCGAATTTTTCTCAATTCTACTTGAATTAGCTGGTCTATCCCATGAGGAAATAAATCATTTTTTGGATGCCCAGCTCGTGAACGAACATGCATTTCTAGATGTATTCATCCCTGCTCTCTCTTTAGGATCTCCGCCACTACAGGTGTCGGTATTGGGTGAGTCGACTGGCGACATTCCACCCGTCTTCATTAAGGCAAGACTATTTCTGGAACGGTAGGTATAATTTCTGCTTTGCATTCTTTTTCACAAACTAAGATATCATTCTTTCACCTTACCCAATATGTGAATACCTTTGAAACTGAGTTCTTACTCCGATTTATCAACTACTCCGTGGCATAAAATACTCTCAACCCAGCATTGCTCAGACCTAATTATATCTGACACGGGTGTCCACTATCAGTACCCATTGTCAGGGCACTGAAACCTTGGCTAGCTTTTTAAACATATAATAAGGGCCAGATAAACTTAAAAATGCAATTCAATACTATTTGTTTGACGGTTCATCTTGTACACAGAAGAGTTTGTAAATTATTTGGGCAGGAAATATTTATTTCGAAATGGGTTATACGCTTGTGCCTGGGCATCCTGTTTTTGGTCTAGAATCATCAGCTTTTTCAGCAAAATGGAGAGATGCTGGGTAAATATACCCGTTGTGAGTGATCTCTCTATCTTCGGACCCTTTATTTACGTTTGAGTTTATTCTACATGCGTTAGTTTCGACAGCGTTCTGATGGTATCAAAAGTTGTCGTTAAACAAGTTTAAAGACATTTAATTTTGACTATTGATCTCTATTTGACTTCGATTTACAGGACTTCACCTTCTATATATCTATGCATGTAAGCATCTAAGCCAAGTAGAAATTAGAAGAGTGTAACTTCGAATTCGTTTAACGAAAAAATTTGCTGCCATCAGAACCAAGTTGACCCTAAGGCCGAGATGAATAAAAGGTCCGAGAGAAAAGAGGTTATTTACAATACAATAAACTGCTCGTTTTGCTTGGGGGCCTATTTACCTGGCATCTACCCATCTTGCTGGTTAAGTTGATGATTTTCGGCAAAGTGAACATTTATATATATATATATGTATATATATAACATGTTTAAATATAACTCGCTTTTCCGCTGGCAAGACTATCTTCCATTCTACCTGTCATTATAAACGTTTAGCTATTTACATCTATCTTTCAATTATTCCTTGCTTGGCGTGTATGTCTCCTAGGCTGGGCTGGCTCTCCCCTGTCTGGGGCTATCAGGCCGACCGACTGGATTATTGGCGCGAGGTGTTCACCTGCGATGTAGTCGTGTCTACTGCACAACACGAGTTCTTTGGCGTCTCCGTCCTTGAGGCTGTAGCCGCTGGTTGCCTTCCATTGTGTCCAGCCAGGCTGTCTTATCCGGAGTTGTTTGATGCCGATAGTAGCATCAACTCCTTGCCTAGCCGCATCAGAGCTGTCGGTGGTCTGTATGTGGATCGCGGGCAGGCTGTGGCCAGGTTGCGTGACTGGGCACGACAGCCGGTCAAGATTCGAGAATGGTGTGCTGAGGCGTTGATGGCAACATATTTAAACGAAGCAAAGATTGCTTCTACAGGTTGTGTAACTGACGATAACAGAAGGATTATCGGTGCCCTTCTACCGCCGAGTGGAGAGTTCCTTACTTCGTCAGAAGATAAGGAAGAACGTCTTGATGGGAAGTTTTCTGAAATGAAAATCGGGACTGAGTGGGATCGCCGGACAAAATTAGGATCAGAAAAACACTCCAAATGTGATCGGGTTGAAGATAACGAGGGACATTTACCAAAAAATGAGTATCAAGAGAAAGATTACCATTTTCTGTCGTGCCCAGTAACGCAGATTCTCAAGACAGAGGATGAACGCATGAAAGGAGAGAGGCACAGTATCGAGGAGCCAAAAGACGTCCAATTGTCTGTCAATTCCACTGACACAGCTGGATGGACATCCAGGTATGTAGAAAATGAGAACTGTCTTTAGGTGCTACAGAGTCAAGGTTGTTATATCAGATAGTGACAGGAAAACATGAAGACTATCCTCACTGTCTTTTTCTCCTTGATAATCCCAAAAATGGATATAAATGGCACAGTGATCGCTTGTTTGTCCATGTTGTGGCTAATATGCATATAAGTAAATATTTGCAAGAGGTTGTCTGTATCCTTGGCGTTCCAGGTATTGGACGATTTTCAATCTTCTCCGAGTAAACCGCCACATTCCCATACATGTACTCTTAATTGTAACCGGGCTTGAATGCTTGGATGTAAAGGGCTGAGTGTCCAGCACTTGGACCACGTTTATACATGTTACTGCATGTACACGCCGATAGTCTCTCCTAATTTAGGGCACCAATTTAACTTCCAGAGAACTTCAGTTGACAGCAACTATTAGCCTGTGTTTAAGGTGCATTATTCCAACCTTATTCCTGACACACCCTACTGGGTTACGGTAGCAAAGTTATTTCCCCTTCACAAGCTATCCTTACAATAAAGACACAAAATTCTCGCTGTTAATTATTTCCGACTGTTCCTCTTCATTTTGATACCATATACCATGTTCCTACCGTTCATGGGCGGATTTGGCTTCATTCGCAACTTTTACAACTATCCTCACTTGCGTCGTCGGAAAAATATCTGAAAATGTGTCTGTCCAATGGTTCCATGTTTAACACATGACTACAGTGGAAGAGGACACAGTATGTGGCAAGTTCTTCTTAGTCATCCATGAGTATAATCAGATTCCGAAAACGAGATTATATAGAATTACTACAATTTTAAGCCAAGGCATCTAATCTGTGCTTACTAATTTATGTTGGCAAACCCTTAATATCTTACTAGTGTTGATTCGAGTTAACGTGTATGATGAAGAACTTTAAAAAAGTTAAGAAAAACTAATTGACTAGTCTTACTTTGCATATATACTCACGAAACCCACTCAAATTTGTGTATATATATATGTAAAGTCTTGGTTGTTTTTCTACAATGTCTATCTGTATACATGTACATCAGTGCAAGTATTGGCGCGTGTATGTATGCATGAGCAGACATAGGAAATCAAATTTTCAACCTCGACAATTAGTTTTCTTAACTTCTTGTAAGTTCGAGATTGACTTTAGAATTCAACAGATCATCTCTCCTAATTGGCAGGACAGACGAAAACTGAACGAGGATGTCTCAAGGATTGCGTCTGCCTGAACGTACCTCCCAAAAAAAGGCAGACTTACAAATCTGTTCATCATACATTTTGACTCGAAACGAAAGTCTAACAAACACTGTTTTTTCTCTTAACCAAAAATATTTC